ACTCTATGATCTCACTTACATGTGGAATCTTAAATTTAAAAATACCTGATCTCACAAATACAGATGAGGGAGTGGGAGTGGGCAAAATGCATGAAGGTGAAGTGATGAAAGGGTACAAATTTCCTGTTATAAAATAGGTAAGTCACGGAGATGTAATGTACAGCATGGTGACTCTGGTTAATACTGTATTGCTTATTTGACTGTTGCCAAGAAAGTGGATCTTGAAAGTGCTAATCGCAGGGAACAAAATATTTTGGTAACCATTGTGATAACAGATGTTAACTAGATTTATTGCAGTGATCATTTTGCAATGTATACAAATATAGAATTATTTTGTTGCACTCCTGAAACTAATATAATGTTGTATGTCAAATATACTTCCATTAAAAAGAAGAAAAAGAAAATCAGTTTTAGATGTTTTGAAAATTCTGGGTAGGAGTATGAGAATTGCATTGCGATATTTAATAGGACACCCAGGATATACCTTGCTGAGAAGGTGACTGTAGGGAGACAGGTGATAGAACACCTAGTCTGTTCAAAAGCCGAGAGGAGGCCATTACTGCTGAAGCCGACTGAGGGAGAGGGAGAGCGTGAGAGCCTTCATTAGTGCTTACTGGGATGGCTCAAGTAGCCTCCTAACTAATTTCCCTGCTTCCACTTTGCCTCTCCCCCCTCCTCCCCCCTGACTCCACGGGTTGAGAGTAGACTGTGTGCGGGGGCGGAGGAGGGATGGAAGTGGTTGTGGGGTGGGTGGTTGGCCAAAATAGAAGCAGAGAAATCAGTTTGGGGGTTGTTTCTGTAATCAGGGCAAAAGAGGATGGGGGGCTCCCACCAGCTGTGAAGATGGGGAGAAGTGTTCATGTTTTGGGTGTTTTGAATATCGAGTCAATAGGATTTCTGGAAGCTTAGATAAGAGGTGTGAGAGAAGAAGAGTCAAGAATGACTCTAAAGTTTTAGTCGTATGCAAATCTTGGGACAGAGTTGCACCAGCAGAAAAGGGAAAGAATATGGAGCAGCTTTGTGGAGAAAGGCAAGATTTCAGTTCGGGACCATGTTGCCCTTAGACCTGTTGTATGTGCTAACTCAGCACAGGATTTAAGACACATAGTCTCTGTTGTTGATGTGATAAGGTACATCTTTCACCTCATACCAGTAGAGACACCAACCTGCCACTACTTTGCACTGTGAATAGCTAAAGAGACGAGGGGGAAAAAAGCAGAATTGAATAGATGCTATTATAATATATTTTCTTTAATTTGCATCCTCCACATCATTTTCTAGGAAATCGACTGCTGCTTTAGAACTTTCCTTATTTGTAGACTGAGGAGCTCTTGCTTAAGGTATTTTTTCATCTTGTTCTACCAAAGTCCCCACAAAACAACAACAAAAAACAAAATGGAAAGACACAAAACTCGTCCTTTTGTGTTTTGATGGAGTAATCATGCTCCAGGCTTCCGCTTTTAAATTGCATACCCAGGACTGACACATAAATGGGAATTAATTAATGCGACTACTTTCTTCCAGCAATTCTAGAGGCTACGCAGGCAGCAGGGAGCGCGCTGGTGACCGCGGGGAGGAAACCCCAGGCTGAGGGCTGCAGGCCATCAGGAAGCGCGCGGCGCTGCTGCCTGTCTTCCCAAGCCCATCTCAGGCTGCATTTCCCAGCTTCCTGGCCCAGGAAGCCTTTCCACGTGATGCTATTTATTCCTTTCCCTTTTGATTGTTTGGAGATTAGCATGGCCATGTTGGAAATGACGTGTTGAAAATAAGGGAGTCAAAACTGGAAGAAGCCTGCGTCTCTGAATTTCTGCTCAAAGGAGACCATCTGTCAACCAAAAACTCCTATTCTGCACTTAACATGAGTAGGAGGTAAATGTCTACTGTATTTGAGGTATCATACACTCGTAAGTTTGTTTGTTATAGCAGCTAATGGTTCCAAAACCAAATAAAAATAGAAATAGGGTTTAAAAGCACACTTGACTTAATGTGCGCATTTCCCTATGTAGCTCTCCAGTTTGGAGTCAATTATTTCCTTCAAATCTCTTAGAAGCATGTAATTGAGGAGCAGAATCACAAGTGCATACCTTTCAATGCAGGGTTTGAACCAAGCTCATGGAACATTCTGTATACTATAATACTGACTTATGTGTGAATTCAAAGATGTATATCTTTGAGGCTTGAGAAACTGGCAACATTACTGTGATGTTCAGTTTTCCTAATTTGATTTGCCTTGCCAGCTAAATCTGTTTACTGCGTGCATGGTGGCATAGAGATCTAGTTCAGTGCTGTACTTGAGAATTTCTGATCATGCTTTTGGACTGGAGCCTTTCTCAAATATTACACCCTTTCTAGGGCAGTATTTATTATAGAAATGTTTCCATTCACTGACTTTATATGCATATAGGGTAAAGCCCTTATTGGTGAGTTTCTTATGCACAGGTCCTACAGAGAAAATAAATTTTGTTTTCAATATGGGGAACTTCCTCTGCAGTGACTCCATGTCAAATATTGTTCAAAATAAAGTATAGAAATCGCAAAAAGTATGGACTTTCCAATCTTGTACCAAGAAGAAAGTAAGTAAATTAACATTCTGTAAGGAAATTAAAATACTGGAAGCTTTTATCTACAAATTTAGAAAAAAGAGTAAAAGTCTTCCAGTATTTAAGCTCTGGTTAGTTTTCTGTGAAGACAGATACTTCCTGGTATAGTAAATAATAATCATGAACACCGGCAAGCTCCCCCTCCTCAAATATCTCCCCTAAGTAGGTGACACGGGCTCCCAAATATATTTAGTTTGCCTTGAAATATTCCCAACAGTAATAATAAAATTTTATTAAGCACTCGTCATATGTCAGGGACTAGGTAAACTACTTTTCATAAATCTTTTTTATGAAATTTTCACAATGGCACTATGAAGAGGCAAATATTATTTTTTACCGTCCCAGTGAGGAAACTGAAGCATGAATAAGTTTAATGACTTGTTCAAGGTTATACCTGGAATGTAGGAGAGCTGGGAATTGAGCAGTCTGGCTCCATAGCTCATGCTCAATATTCCTGGAAAGCCTAACATATTAAATCCCTTTCATTATGTGCAAATCGATTCATCCTTTTTGTTAATCATAGTACATATTAGGTGTTAAAGTAATAACTAATGTAAGAAATTAAAAGAAGAAACCATTATACTTACAGTTATTCTTAAGGTTATGTAAGTGTAGTTAAACCTATAGTATTTATGAAGAATATAGTACTTGTATTAGTTCAGTAGTAATTTATATTTATGTGTGTATACATATGATATATATCACATATATACATATCATATCATATATATATATATATAACTAAATCATGGTTTAAGAGTTTGATTGCAAAGTTTTAAGCTTATTATAATCTAAAAAATGTAGCAGAAACCTTAAATATTTGACATACAGAGAGTACAGTTAAATAAACTATTCAACATTCCATTATTTTGTACA